AACAGATAATGTCTACTAGCGGTGGGCTTGGGCTAACGAATGGTATCAGAGCTAAACACTAGAAGGTGTACCAGTGAGAACGCTGGCCCTTAAGGAGGGTGGATTGTGAGATCCCATATCGGTTGGAGAGGAGAATGAAGTATTACTTATAAGAGTGTGGAAACCTCTTCCTAATAGATGCGGTTTAGAATCATGAGGCTGACGACGATACATAACGAGCAAAAGCAGACAATATATAGTAGCGGTGGGCTTAGGCTGTTACAAATAGTATCAAAGCCAGACACCGGGTGGTGTATCAGCGAGAACGTTGGTCCTCAAGGAGGGTGGATTGTGAGATCCCACATCGGTTGGAGAGGAGAACAAAGTATTACTTATAAGAGTGTGAAAACCTCTTCCTAGTAGATGCGTTTTAGAATCATGAGGCTGATGACGATACGTAACGAGCCAAACCAGACAATATTTACTAGCGGTGGGCTTGAGTTATTATAAATGATATCAGAGCCAGACACCGAACAGTGTACCAATGAGAACGTCGCTCTCATTGGACGGTAGATTGTGAGATCCCACATCAGTTGGAGAGGGGAACGAATTATTACTCATAAGGGTGTGGAAACCTCTTCCTAGTAGACGCGTTTTAAAATCGTGAGTCTAATAACGATAAGTAAGGAGTAAAAACAGACAATATCTACTGGCAGTGGGCTTGGACTGTTACAAATGGTATTAGAGCTAGACACCAAACGGTCCAAACGGTGTAGCAACGAGAACGCTGGCCTCCAAGGAGGGCGGATTGTAAGATCCTACATTGACTGACATCGATACGTAATAGGTCAAAATAGTCCGTTACAAAAATGGTTATCAAACGAGAACGAGAACGATTTAATTTAAAAAATGGAGAAAACAAAAGGCATATACAAATTTAATTTATTTGTCTTATTCACTTGACTAATGGGGACCCAAAAGAGAAAAGAAAAGTGAAGAATGAATATTCAAATTTCAAAGTTTCAAACTGTGAAAGACGCGCAAAGTAGAATTCCAGATGAGACGCCGACGCTTTTTCTCCTTCTCCTTCCAATCTTTTTAACGCTCTCCCTCTCTCGCCATCATCACTCAAAGCTTCTTCGTCTCAGATTTTCACCCATTTGCAGATCCAAGAACATGGAGAACGATTCTTCCGCTATGGAGATTAAAGGGTTTCCCACCTACGACGGCAAGTACTTGCTCTACAACGTTCTCGGCAACTTCTTCGAGGTCTCCGCCAAGTACGCCCCTTCGATTCAACCTGTTGGACGCGGTGCTTACGGCATTGTTTGGTAATTCTCGTCTCTTCTCCTCCATGCTCTGTTCTGATTGTTGATTTTCCATTTCTGCTGCTGATTTGGGGTTTCCTAGTTCTTTGATTTTTGGTAATCTATCGAATTTCTGTTTATTTTTCTTATTCTTGATGAATGCTTTCTTATGTGCTATGATTTTGATAATCTGCTTAATCAGTTGTACGACCAATTCTGAGACGAAGGAAGAGGTAGCGATAAAGAAGATAGGGAACGCTTTCGATAACCGGATTGATGCCAAGAGGACCCTTCGTGAGATAGAACTCCTATGCCATATGGACCATGACAATGTATTTATCCCAACTCAGCTCTGTTTGCTTGGTTTAAATTTCTTCATTTGGGTGCATACTTGAATGGATATTCAGGTTGAATTTGAGTTTAATTAATGAGGCAAAACGTGTGGATTATATATTTTGAATTTCGAATGCTTGAACTATAACTGTTCAAGCCCACCTCTAGCAGATATTGTCCTCTTTAGGCTTTTTCTTTCGAGCTTCCCTTCAAGGTTTTAAAACGTATCTACTAGGGAGAAGTTTCCACACCTTTAGAAAGAATGTTTTGTTCTCCTCTTCCGCCTAGAACTTTTTAGTTACATATTCGAAGCATTGCTTCTATTTCAGCTGTACTTTTGTTATGTCATGAACAAATTTGATGAAGGGATGGTTGCAAAATTCATTGCTGATATAATCCTTGGAGAGTTTTCCTGAGGAACTTATATTATCTTATCATTGAAGCATAATGATCTCCTTTCCTTCTTCTCAGATTATAAAAATCAAAGATATAATTCCTCCACCAGAGAAGGAAAAATTCAATGATGTGTATATTGTGTATGAATTAATGGACACTGACCTGCACCAGATCATTCGCTCTAGCCAGGCTCTGACAGACGATCACTGTCAGGTAAGGGATACTTATCATCCTTTCACTGAGATGTTAGCCAATGTCTGTTTCAGTAGTTAATACGTAGTTTTATTTGGATTATAATTTTGTTGAAGCAACAAGAAGCTATCTGAAACAGTATGAATGATTTTTGTGTTTGGTTAGAGAACATGTCTCTTGTTAAGCCTGTTAAAGCGGTGTTTGTTTATTGTTTGGACAGTACTTCTTGTACCAATTACTGCGAGGTTTGAAGTATTTACACTCTGCAAATGTCTTGCACCGAGATCTAAAACCAAGCAATCTGCTTCTCAATGCAAATTGTGACCTCAAGATTTGTGATTTTGGGTTAGCAAGAACAACATCAGAGACAGATTTCATGACAGAATATGTTGTGACACGATGGTATCGAGCGCCTGAGCTTCTACTCAACACTTCCGAATACACTGCAGCGATTGATATTTGGGCTGTTGGATGTATTCTCATGGAAATTCTAAGGAGGGAGCCACTGTTCCCTGGAAAAGACTATGTGCAGCAATTGGGGCTTATAACCGAGGTACTCAATCACTGTCTTCCATTTTCCTGCGGTTTGAAATTATACATGCAGCACTGATTGTTACCCCTAATCTTAAGAATTCGAAGCTGAAGCCAAATCTGTGAGATCCCACGTTGATTGAAGAGGAGAACAAAACATTCTTTATAAGGGTGTGGAAACCTCTTCCTAGTAGATGCGTTTTAAAACCTCGAGGGGAAGCCCGGAAGAGAAAGCCCAAAGAGAACAAAATCTGCTAGCGGTGGACTTGGGCTGTTACAAATGGTATCAGAGCCAGACATCGGGTGATGTTCTAGCAAGGAGGCTGAGCCCCGAAGGGGATGGACACGAGACGGTGTGTCAGCTGTGTCAGCAAGGACGCTGGCCCTGAAGGGGGTGGATTGGGGTGTCCCACATCGATTGGAGAAGAGAACGAGTGTCAATGAGGACGTTAGGACTTCAAAGAGGGGTGGATTGTGAGATCCCACATCGGTTGGGGAGGAGAATGAAGCATTATTTATAAGGGTGTGAAAACCTCTCTCTAGCAGATGCGTTTTAAAATCTTGAGGGGAAGCCTAAAGAAGACAATATCTGTTAACGGTGGACTTAGGCTGTTATTTGCTCTTATTCATTATAATAAACTACCTACCTGAATTATAATTTGCATGGGTTGCAACCTTAGATTTGTGATGTTTTTTAATTGAGTTATTTCTTTATCTTACCCCAAAAACAGTTGCTTGGTTCACCAGATGATTCAGATCTCGGGTTTCTTAGAAGTGATAATGCAAGGAAGTACGTTAAGCAACTTCCTCATTTCCCGAAACAACCACTGATTGAAAAATTCCCAGATCTTCCTCCACTGGCAGTTGATCTTGCAGAGAGGATGCTGCTCTTTGATCCAAGCAAGAGAATAACTGGTAATGCACCTACCTTTGCATCTGACATTACTTTAAGAACCTACATTTTCTTGACATGATGTGTATTTCTTATCGTGTTTACAAGTCGAGGAGGCGATGAATCACCCATATATACTAAGTCTTCATGAAATCAATGAAGAACCAACCTGCCCTTCTCCTTTCAACTTCGATTTCGAACAGGCATCCTTGGATGAAGAAGAAATAAAAGAGCTTATATGGAGGGCATCTCTCAAGTTCAATCCAAATTACATGTAGTTTCAAACACTTTGCTCCTCTTCAGTTTGTTGGGTTTTGAATGAAGAGTTAATTTTGTTTTTCGAAGATTAAGCGGAGTATGATAGTGTGAATCGATGTCGTGTTAGCGGTCAGAAAGCTGGGGAACATCTAGTTCTTGTATATAATCATGGAAAAGGTTCATTTATCAGGATTGGAAAGGTTCTATATTCACCATCTTCTGGAATCTTGCATCCAGTGATGGCTGGTGTGACATAAAAAAGGGCTGCGTCTTCCTCAGCCTTTGGATTGAGCTTCTAGGAGGAAAAAAGAAATGGTTTGCTGCTCTTCCTGGTATTGTTTCTACTGTTTAATACTAAACACAGTTTTGTTTTTGATATTGTGAGTTCATGTTGATAATGGAATTACTGTTATCAACGTGCAAAGATGATTGTCTCTGTTTGTGTGGAGGCAGGAACTTAAATAATATTAGCTTTAAGAATTTTCAATTTCTTGAATTGTTTTTAGGTGTATGTTTTTGTTTTGATTATATAAGTATAGTAGATTTAAGATTAATTACAGGTTAACGAGTAAATTTTGCTAATTTTGTTCCTAGTACGTGTTGATAAGAGATATTGCTGCCATCATAAAAGTTGAGTGTTCAATGTTGTTATTCGTACAAGGGTGTCTTACCTTCACTTGAAAAGAACTAACTCGTATCTTGAGTATTTAAAATATTCAATAAGTAGCTTCACCGTTGGGGTTGGAAAATGTAAAAACAAGCAATGATGTTGAGACGTATTTTTTTCATAGAACATTATGACATGGTTTTGGGCTTTGCTTCCTAGTCCAGAATGGTTGAATGTGTAGTACTTCCCTGTACATGGTCTATGTCTGCCTGCGTATAGAGACCCATTAATTGGGTTTGTATATGTACCATCCTTTGGGCTGAGCTCGTCGGGCTAGTGCATACCCACGATGTCATACGCCAATAAGGGAAAGGACCCACATAATATCATGGTCAACATAGATATCACGTAAGTATTCGTATTAAACATAATGGAGAAGTATCTCTATGCACGGATCATCCAAAATGCATGAAGTCCCATAATATTAAAACATGACATATATTCATGACACTGGTCACATTTTCATTCTTTTCTTGACATAGCGTTCCTATGAGACGTACATACTTGATACTGGTCGGTTGTTCATGATTAACATACATGGTTTTCTAATGTCTCATAGTTATAGTACATAACTATTAACATGGATTACATAGTACATGGAGGTTCATGCATCAAATAACTTTTTAGAAATCGTCAGCGGTTGGTCTGGACATGTGACTTTCTGGGCGTCAAAGTGCTCCTCTTCGTAAATTTAAAACTTTACTAGTAGGAATATGAACAATTAGGTAATAAATAGAAATGGATTACCCTGAGGTAGATTACAACCCTCACCGTGTAGGGCCACAATTTGGATTCGACCAGGGACGGCCAAGCTAATATCCGCCTGATAACATAACATAGTTCAAAATAACTTGTACGCGTCATAACATATATCATAGTATAAAAACATAACATAGTACATATCATACAATCATAAGACAAAACACGTGCAGGGATCACAGAGCACGCGTCCTTCATACAATCACAAGACCCTAAACCCTATGATGTATGTTATGACGCTTACCTTTCTTTTTCCGGGTCTCCTTACGAAGGAGTTTTAGATTTGCGTGAACTAGCAAACCGATCACTCATTGGCGATGATCCCTCCGGTATGAGCAAACTGTTAGGATCGATACCAATTATTAGCTCTAATACTAATTGTTATGATCGCTCAACAACGCACACACTCGATCAAGTTTTATTATTGATGACGTCGGGTATTGTACAACAACAGAGAATACAGAGAACGAAGGAAAGTACATTTTAAGAGCACTTGAGTATATGTATGGTTTCAATTTACTAAATATAGCTCCTAAAAATTTAAAGCTACGGGATGTAATCTAACAAATATATCTCTATAAAATCTTTATCAAATATCTATCATATATATCTCTATCATATCATTACGAAATATCTTCCTAATATATCTCTATCACATCTGGGCATCAGGCTCTATATCCCGACACAAACCGACGGCACGAGACCAGCTTGAACCCAGCCAGGCTCTATTTCTTATGTCTCCTTCGGTCACGGTCACTGCCACGTCATATTTATATTATTATTTTAGAATGAAATGTTAATGAGACAAATTAAAAAAATTTAGGACTAAAAATTAAAATCTACAGTTATAGAGCATTTTTGTAGAATTTCTGGCTCGAGCTTCTCAATATTGAAAATGAACTTGGAATGGTGATGCACGATACGTCTACATTTTCAGTCTGAACTACAAAGAAAAGCCACAGAATGAGCTTCCGGATCTTCTCAAAGCCGCTGCGGAACCGAAGCAGAAGCCGATTACCGCCGTTGTCATCTATTTTATTGCGTTCATTCTCACATACTTTCTCGCAATTCACCAGGTTCCTACTTCATCTCTTTCTTTGTGAATTCAATCTTTCTGTAATCGCTTGATTGAGAGAAAAAGCGTGTGATTCTGTTGTGATTGATATAGTTATTTTGCAGACCAACGTTTGGCATTGCGTTCGACATTGATGGCGTGCTTCTCCGAGGCGATGCTCCGATTGGAGGCTCTCCACAAGCTCTGAGAAAGTTATATGACGATTCCGGTATGGTTTCTTTGTTTTTGGAGGGCAGCCACGCTGAAATGTTTTCATCGTTTTTATTTTTTCTCTCTTGTGAAGTATCTTCGGAAGTTTTTGGGACTGAATTTGCTCGTATTAATCTTTGCCTTGGCAGGTGTATTAAGGGTTCCTTATATTTTCCTGACAAATGGTAATTCCCTGATCATACTCAACTTTTCAATCTAATGTGCCGGAATTAACTAGGGGTTGCTCAATGATATAATTGTTCAATTTGGTAAAAGAATGATGATGATTTGGTATTATCGTTCCAATTTATATCTATTTTATATTGCATCTTTCCTGGCAAGGGGTTATTCTTTGTCACATTCTAATTTTCAATTCGATGTTCATGAATGATGAAATGATTAGGAGTTATTCTACGTGATTGAGCTATTATTCATTTAGATATTTTATAACAGAAGGACTGGTCATAATCTTCGTAACAAATATTGTCGCAATATTTACATATATTCAGACACACCACAGGACACTTATATGTCTACACACTTTTGGATGCAATGGAATGTGATAGGCTAAGATTTTAGGCTGAAGAGAGAAAGTTGGAGAGAGTTTCTTGCCGCTGAGTGCTAATGCACTTGCTCATTTTGTAGTTTGGATTACAAGGGGTGGTAAGCGTTCCAAGGATCCTAGGAAATTCTTTCTTAATTATCCTTGGTGTTGCTACCATTCTGATCTATTTACATGAGTTTTGAAATCGTTTCCTTTTTTTCCTACTAGTAATATTGCCTTTACTACAATCAAAAGTTGCTGAGTATCTTTCTTGAGGCAGTTGGTCTACACTTACTTAATTCTGTGTGAAGCCAAGTTCATAGTCTCTTGAAATGCCTTAGTTGAATTTACGGATCTCATGGTTTTATGGATTGCTAGTAGGACACCGTTTGGGCATAAATTATGTATAGTCTGAAATCTTGAGAGGCTTTAAATGGTGTGTTCAGCTCTAGTTTTGGTTACTTCTGCAGGAGGTGGAGTTCGTGAATCCAAGAGAGCCTCAGATTTGAGTGAAGTTTTGGGCGTAAATATATCACCTTTACAGGTAAGATGTGCATACAAACTCCTTTCTAGACGGCTGATTAATCAAGAGTGTTAATCATATATACTTCTCTTCTAGACTCTATTCTTACTTTTCCTTTTAACCCAGGAAGGTTCTTACCCATTGCCCCGTTAACTCAAAGGAAATTTTCACATAGATTATTGCTTAATATCCTTTCGTTTGGATTTTGAACAGGTTGTTCAGGGCCATTCACCATTTAAACACCTTGTAAACAGGTATAGTTTAATCTGACCGGAAGTTGATGCAAACCTTTAAATATTTTGAACAGCTTGTCTGATAACAGGAAGTTGATGCAAACCTTTAAATATTATACCTGATTATGCATAGAGGCAGTAGCAGCCACAGCTTAATCTGTCTACTTTGGCTAAAACTAATGAACTTCATTCGTTGGTTGGTAAAGTAAATAACTTCCTTTAAGTTTGATCTCATAGATACTTCAATTTGTGTGCCAGATATGAAAACAAACTTGTGATTGCTGTTGGAAAAGGAGAACCCGCTGCAGTGATGTCTGAATATGGATTTCGGTGAGCTTTTGTTCTGATAGAATTTTGTGGTTTTATTTATATCATATCTACTCGATGACTGTTCCTTGCTATATGAGCTTTATGCATTCTTTTATCTTCAGGAATGTTCTTTCAATTGATGAATATACATCCTTCTTTGATAACATTGATCCTCTGGCACCATATAAGAAATGGACGACTATAAATGGGGCTAATCATGAAAAAACTATCTCAAATCTAGCTGAAAAGAAGAAAGTTTGCTCTGAGAGAGTTGATGCTGCCTTCATCGTTAGTGATTCTGTTGATTGGAGCAGGGATATTCAGGTTGCCTTTAGCTTTATATCTTCCACGACGTGTTCTTGCAATAAATAGATCTTAATCTCATTTTTCCTTTCTGCCCTCTATTGAAGGAATTGATCAATTCTTTTCCAATTTCGATGAGATAAAATAACTAAAGTATAGGAACAATCAACTTCCTTTCCGCGTTTAGAAAATGTAGACTTCTTAAAACATGGAGAACAAACTGAAGTGAGTGAAGATTTTTTCTTCTCTCTCTGCTCCCTTTTCTCTGCAAGACATTATATAAGCCCATCCATCCGTCCATGAAGCTTTTGGTTGCTGGGTTTTTCATCTGTAATCCTGATGGGATACTCTTTTCTAATATTTCCCTTTTCAAGGAATGAAAAGGCTAGGCACATTTTTCCCTGTACAAGATCTTGAAGATTTCCCGTAGGGCTTAGTTTTTATCTTGAGAAAACTGTTAGTTCAATGTTTTGTGCTCTTGTTATGATGCAGTCATTAGTCTTACTGAAGTTCTTTGCATTCCAACAATTGTTTCTTCTTTCTGAAATCCATGTATTATGAAGTTCTCTTCCTATTTTATCGATTTGATCCAACAACTACCAGCATAGCTTATGCTATCACCGATAATTTTCCCTTGTGTTCAATTGCTTCAAGTAGGAATTACTCTTAATTCGGGGGCCCTATCTGAAATTAGGTATAACTTCAATTTCAAAGTCTATTTTTGTGACTATTACATTTAGTTTAAACCTTTTATTTAGTTCAACAATCGTGGAGCGAGAGATTGAATCATTGACCCTTGAAATGACAATGGTGCCTTATCTATAGAGCTCTACTCAGATTGGCCATTTGATTTTAACCTTTTCCACCTTAATTGCCAGTTCAATATTATGAAATCGATTTCCATTATTGATACTCTTTTAAACAAGAAGACAAAACTTTTCATTACTCTGTTTAATTATGCACTAAGCAACATAGTATCGCTAAATCAGGTACTTTGTGATATCTTAAGAACCGGAGGTCTTCCAGGAAGAGAATTTGGACACCAACCGAACTTGTATTTTGCACACGATGACCTTGAATACCAGGTTACTAGTCATATACTCTTGGATCGTTTCAGAATTGATTCACTGTTGCCTCTTTTTTTTTCATTCCCCCCCTCCCCCAACTATTATTTTCCTTTTTATTGAATGTTTGATGGTTCTAATATTGTAACTAACATGGTTCTCTTTAAGGCAGGCTGCTTTTCCTTGTGAACGTTTTGGTATGGGAGCTTTCAGAATTGCCCTAGAGTCTATCTACAATAAGTAAGACAAATATTACCGTAGGTGTTAAATGTCATAGGTTACTTGTCTGGAAGTAGTTGAGATAGTTGTTCATGCTGCCTCTTGGATCATTACTGACCCATATCATTGTAATTTCTGTCATATGAGTATAGGATCCCAGAAAAATTTGCCTACCTTGAAAGTTAAGCATAAAAGTCGCCAACCAATAGAATTTCATGTTATAAAATTTTGTAATCCTGCTTTAGAATAAAGATGTAAATTCCCATTATCATTGTGTAGATACGAATTTAGACTACCTCATAAGTATTTGAAAAGAAAACTTGCAATTAACTGACGCACCCACTGGTTTTCAGTAAATTTCCTCATGACACGAGGCCATAGCCAAGATAACATGCTGTATTGTATGATCAATCAGGCATGGTATTTTTTTAGGAATGCATATCTAGCCAACATCGAATGTTCCGTGTAACCGAAGAATAAAAACAACCAAATTGAAGAATGCTTGCTATTGTTTAAACATAAGGCTAAATCAACAATGTCTAGCAATACGCTTTAAGGCTTGCTATTAACATCTCTGCCTATAAATGGTCATTGTCACTTTTTTGCACCTAGTTTGTTAATGCAAGTGTTTTTTTTTTTTTTTTTTGTTCAAACATTGAATATACATGCATCCTATTCAGTTGTTTTTTGTGGGGAAACTCTCCTAATCCGAAGAAGAAATAAAGTTTGTCGACTATTGATTCGATCTTAGAGTTGATCATATGTGAAGCGCTCGTGTTATTTTATGATGCAGGATTCACCCTCATGCTTTGCAGTACACATGCTATGGAAAACCAAATCCGCTCGTATTTCGCAATGCCGAAGCTGTACTTAAACTA